TGATGCCCCCCCCCCCCCCACCTCCCAAAAAAAGGATTTGAGGCTCTGAAGTCTATGCCTGAGCAGCTCATGGAGGCTAGAACACCGGCCTAGCAGAGCCTAAGCCAGGAAGAGTAGAAAAAGTAGTGGAACAGGAATGAGAAGACCTGGGTCATGTCAAGAGCTCTGTCATTTGGGACAGTTATTCCACAGATGGGTCTTCATTTCCTACTTGGTCAAATAGGGATCCTACAAGTCATGTTAACTTCATGCGCCGGTCAGAAGGATCCAGTGCAATAACGGACAGGGCACTGCTTTATGAAACCACACATCATTTTACAGAGGATGAAACACGGTCTCCTGCACTCTGCAAAACGAACTTACTCTCCTTCATACTTGCAATGCAAGGGACTTTATTTGATCTATTTTGCAATCCTCTTAGCCTAATTTAACTCTGGAGTGAGTTTGCTTTTTTAAAAGATATGTTGAAGCTCTAACTCCCAGAGCTTTATTATTTTTTGAAAAAATTAATTAGTTTATTTATGTTTGGCTGTGATGCGTCTTCATTGCTGTGCTCGGGCTTGCTCTAGCTGCGGGGAGCAGGCTTCCCCGGCAGCGGCTTCTCTTGCTGTGGAGCACAGGTTCTGGGGTGCACGGGTTGCAGGACTTGAGGCTCCTGGGCTCTAGGGCTCAGGCTCCGACTTGTGGCACACAGGCTTAGCTGCTCCACGGTATTTGGGATCTTCCCGGACTAGGGATTGAACTGGCGTCCCCTGCATTGGTAGGCAGACTCTTAACCACTGGATCACCAGGGAAACCAAAGTGGGCTTTCATTAGCAGGTTGAGCACATATAAAAACCGACACCAAGATGTTGTCCTGAGAGAGGACGCCCGCTGACTTCTATGTAAAGTGGACTCACATTCAGGACATGTCCTGCGGTGGAGAATCAACCACAGTGAGTGAAGCACACAATCTGGATGAGAAACCGGCATTTTAAGAGCATATTTCTGCTCTAGAATCCAAATGGCTGTTCCCATTGGAAGCAAATGGAATCCTCGAAGTTCGGTAGTGGTGAGCAGAGCCGCAGGCTGACTTCTGGCCACCCTCAACAAGCCGGGCATATGGTTACTGGCCAGTGGAAGCCGGGGCCCACCTGCCACGTGTCATGGGTTCAGAAGTGACCCTTTCGCTGTTGTCAGTCCCAGGATCTGAGCCTGGAATACCTCATATGGACATGTTGATATTTACGACATTTGCATTCATCAAAAACAAAAATTGCATTTAACATTTAATGTCACAGTCAACCCAAGTAATGAAACTTACTACTTTCAAATTCAAGGCCTGTTTAAACCAACCTCGCACAACAACAGTTCACTAATAACTATCGTGACAGTGTTAAAAATCTGAGATACTGTTGCGCAGCTAAGAGAGGAAAACAGCCTAGCCCCACTGTAGAGTGAAAAAGCAACTCCCAGCCAAGAGTTTCATCTCATGTACCTTTTTTGTTGCTGACTTTTTTAATCTGTTCGTCTAGGTATTCTCGCCGTTTAATGAGGGCATCCGACCACCTCTCTCTCACGCAGTTTAAGTCTTCTTCCTGGCATCAGGAAGGGAAAACATTTTCCTGTAAAGTGCACAGACAACTCTTTTTTTTTTTTTTTTAACAAAAGATGTTTCAATTGATTAGGAAACTTTTCATTAGAAAAGGCCATTAAACGTTGCCGTGTGATTAATATGCAAGAAAGCACAGAAGCCTTAGGAACCCTGCATGCTGATTGAGGATCCTGATTTTCAGAAAATCAGAGCCCCTGGACTTCTGAAAGGATAATTATACTTAAAAGCAGGAGAAGCTCCAACTACACCAACTGTTACCCAATATGTGCGTCTATGTATTTAAGTTGTAGCTGTTCATTTGAAGAGGTTTGTGATTCTAAGAGGAAGGGCACCAGAAACAGACCCCCAATTCCAAAACAGCAAATGGAATGGAGAATCACATTTTCACCATTCATAGCTCAATGGCTGGGTAACATGTATTTTCTGAAAGGCAGAGAATAGATCAGCAGAGAACCTCTTGCACTTGCTGCAAAGATCTTACCTCTAACCGCTACCCTAAGGCTAACCAAAAATGCCCCATGCAAAAAGCCAACATGCAGTCAGCCATGCTGAGAAATCCTGGAAGCGGATGCTGGACCTGACTCTGAACCACGGGGCAGGAAGTGCACAGCCAGCCACAGGACGTTAGTTGATGGTGTTGCTGAGATTCAAGGGGATACTGGTATTTACCCTAAGGTTTGTTTTTACTTGTTTGTTTTCTTTCTCAGTAAAATTACAAGGCAGAAAAGACACCTACCAACCCTATTCAGAAGGCTTTGACTGCCTAATTCCGGTCTAACCCATAAGATGGTCCATTAAGAGCAGACACCTGAGGACTTCTGAGGTGTCCCCTATGATGGACCTGCACTTTACTTAGAGGAAGGCACACCAGAAAACATGCTCTTGACATTTATGTAGAGAATCAGTAGAGAGATGGGGAACCAACCTAGAAAACTTCATCTTGGTTTGTCACCTTGCCCATTACTGTAATCCCACATCCCATTGACTGCAGGCTGGTCAGCACTAAGTAAGATTTCACCTGTGTACTTTTTCCTCTACATTTCCAGAAAGATTTAAGGCTGAGAGTTAAATTCTCCAGGTTATGAATAACTAAGGTGGCCCTTACAGAAAGAAGAAAACTGGCTAAACAAAACTATGTGCTTAAAATGTCTCCAGTTTTCCTATCCGGCAAAAATCTTTAAAAATCAAATGGCGTGTTAGAACAATATGACGTGCTCGGGTGTAAGGTGCTAACTGCAGGTTCGCATAGGAAACACAGGTCTGTTTAAAGATTATGGATGGATAACTACAATTCTTAAGATCACCAATTTAATACGGCGATAGTGGTCTTGCTTAGATAAGGCTTTACAAGCTGGCAGTTCGAGATGGCATAGCAAAAACGAAGTATCTGTGCATACATTTTAAACTGACGGGAAAATCTGTAGCAACAGGATTGTGTCCCTGATTATGCTGAAAGCGAATCAAAAGCGAGTGAAAATGGCATGATCTTGCTCTATGGTCCTTCCTCCTCCCTGCCCTCGGCTTTGCGGATGCGGGCAATTAGCAGCAGCTGTGCCCCATGCCACAGGATTGATAGCAGCAGTGATACCTGATAACTATCCATATCATCACCATCCTCATCATCTCTCTGGTAGGAAAAAAATAAACACAAAGGACATGCATTTTGGTTCTCAAACAGCACACAAGGAAAACAGGTCTTTAAGCTTAACACACACATTACAAAGGACAGCACACACAAACAGCATTGGCATAATAAAACACTGAACTGAATCTCAAAAACTGGACTTAATTCCCTTGCCTATAGTTAACTTAAGAGAATTTAAGATTTTATTTTTTTTATTTCATCGAGAAAGCAGTCATTTAAAAATAGGAACTGTATTAGATTCTCTTAGCTGGGGAGAGGAGCCAACCCCACTGGGTCAAGACTTACCCCACTGTTATACAAAGTTGCTATTAGTTTCTGGGTGAGCTGTCAACTGAGATTTAGAGTGTGCAAAGTTAGAAAGGACTTTGTGGAGTTTCCTGCTCAGTCTCTTGGTTTTAGCCACAAGGCAGCTGAGGTCTGAAGGATAAAATGATTGAACTCAAGGCTCACACGGATAGTGGCAGGGTCAGGACTGAGGCCAGGTCTGTGCCTGGCACCACACCTCAGCCACTGTGACATGATCCCAGCGGAAAACCACTGGGAAGCTAAGACTCCACGTCCAGTCAGTGCTCTGCATCCACAAGTCCCCCATCTGCAGATTCAACCAACTGCAGAAGCTTCCGGATACAGAGGGCGGAGTGTGCTGGGCCATTTCATGTAAGAGACTTGAGCATTCTCAGATTTTAGTATCCAAAGCAGGGTTCTGGAATCAATTGCCCCTGGATACCAAGGGAAGACTGCAGGGGTTCTGTTATACTAAACCACTACATAAGAGTTTATGACTATGTGGGGCTTCCGTGGAGGCTCAGATGGTAAAGACTCTGCCTGCCATGCAGGAGACAGAAGCAAAAATAAAGAAATCCCGATTTTAGAGAATATCCATCTCTATGGAGGTAGGTTCTACTTAAAATGAAACATCCTTCTTTCATTTTTCTGTGGTTATTAGAGGATTAATATCAAAAAGGAAGTGGAGTGGCCTGGTCATATAAAAGACTATTTTTTTCCAAGCACTTTAAAAAATATAATTACATTGTTTTCATATTGAAGTATACTTCAAAATATACTGCTTTTCAAAATTGCTTAAAAAAATACTGTTAAAATTATTCTCTGTGTAGACTTTAAACTTCAGCTTTAGTTTGGTAATCATCATTTTCATTTGGATAACTCTAACTTATTAAATGCAAGCCCAATAATGCAATAACTTTCCTCGAATTAATTCCCCCTACTAATGAATAATGTACAAACATCCCTAAATTATCATTATTTCTTAGACCAAGGAGATCCTTCTATTCACTGAAAATCAGCTTGAGCTTTCATGATACAGAACTATTGTGAAATGTGCTTTTTCTGGTCTGGCTCAAGCTATCACATCAAAATAATTCTAATAGCCTAGTCCACCAACAAAAATTGTACTGGACATGACCTGCAGCATGGTGCAAAGAAAAACAAAAGCTTTAAAACAGTCACTGCTTAAATTTGCATGGCAGGTACTATATTCTTTGAGGCTTTCACTCAAGACGTATAGCTGCTTTAAAAAGTGCAGATAATCAACCCTTATAGCGTTCATTTGGGCTTCCCTCGTGGCTCAGCTGGTAAAGAATCTGCCTGCAATTCGGGAGACCTGGATTGGGAAGATCCCCTGGAGAAGGGAAAGGCTACCCAGTCCAGTATTCTGGTTTGGAGAATTCCATGGACTGTATGGTCCACAGGGTTGCAAAGGGTTGGACACAGCTGAGCCGACTTTCACTTTTACAGTGTTCCTCAAAGGGGAATAATCAATTAGTTAATGACCCACGTCTGTAGTCATGGTTCAGGACACACAGATTCAAGGTTTTATCTAAGACCAGAGATTCATTAAGCCACAAAATTTTATGGCAGAAAGGGACCTCAGAGAATTATCATATCTACCTCATAGTCTTGGAGGAAAGGAAAAGGGAACTCAAAATCTTTTTTTTTTTTTTAAATATTTATCTATTTGGTTGCATGGGGTCTTAGTTGCAGCATGTGGGATCTTGGTTGCATCATATGGGATCTTCTGTTGCAGCATGAAGGCATGTGGGATCTTGGTTCCCCGACCAAGGACCAAAACCCATGTCCCCTGCATTTTAAGGCAGATTCTTAACCAGTCAACCACCAGGGAAGTCCCAGAACTCAAAGTTTAAATGACTCGGTTAAATCAAACAAAACTAAGTATCCTCACTTCAAGTCTGAGCTCTTTCTACCAGGCCCTGTAGCTGCCCTCAAAGCTGATGGCCAAGCGAAGGCCAGCCTATTAATAACATCTACTCCACACACAAGGAAAAGTCTGCTGGAGAAGCCTCCCTGGAGACAACAGACTCCAGCCTCACAGCTCCACTGACACTCTTCCCAGGCTTTGAGCCTGAGGCAGTTTTGGCCTGGGGCGAGTCTCCCAAAGTTGTGCCTTCCTTTTGGCCCAACAGTCCAAGCCAATGTCCTTTTCAGCTTTCAGGAAAGTCCTCGCTGCCATGAAGCCGAAAGGAAACTGTGTTGGAAGATGAATCATTCTCAGGATAGTCTGGGCTTTTGCCCAGACTCTGCAGAGAAACCTTTTCTCCCCATCATGACATGGAGCATGTTGCCTTCACGTGTGGCAGTGAGGGAGCCAGGATTTAATGATCTGATTCTTCCAAGTCTCTAATTAAGTTGCTGTTGTTTAGTTGCTAAGTCGTGTTTGACTTTGCGACCCCATNATTGGCAGGTGGATTCTTTACCACTGAGCCATTGGCAAAGCTTGTCTCTAATTATATCTGATGGCAAACCAGGGACTCAGTGAAGCCTGTGAGTTCTTTCAGGCCCCTGGGGACAAGTCCCTGATCTCAAAGTTTATTGTGATTGGTAAATGTGATGAATTCTTAGGTGGTCCCACCTTTTAATTTAAAAAAAAATGAAAACAGAAGATTTAGCAAAAGGAGATTTAATGAACATAAACGATCATGAGGATAACTTTCAAGTTAAAAAAAGGAAAGCTTTCAGAGAGCTGGTTAATTATGGCAGCATCTGGGGGCAATTTTATATTAATAAAAGTGGAATCAGGCCAAAGCCAGAAAAGTCACACACCCAACATAATTTGGGCCTGATGTAAAATAAAACCTGCCTAAAGTAAATGAGCACAATAGCATCAATGTGTGTTTATAAATAAAATTATTACTATGCAGCACTAAGCCAATATGGTATTTTAAACCTAGTAAAAAAGGCAACGGATGGACACATGAATGGGGTGGGGGTGGGGCAAATACATGGTTAAGGCAAAGAGTTTAGTTATATTCCTATAGGGGACTGCCTTAGTTCTGTATTGACCAATCTTTGTTAAACATGATTTCAAACCTGCTGGTCTCACCTGGTAGCTGTCCAGCCCTCTCTGGAGTTTGGTGGACCTGGCAGTGATGCAGCCGATGGAGATGGACAAGACGGCCTCGACCATGAGCGGCAGCGTGCCGGAGTGCTGGACAGGCTTCACTGTGACTTGGACTCTCCGGGAATGACCCTGCAGAGGTGGGGGTGCGATGCGGAAATGGGTGGCAGGAATGGGAACCGGGAGGGACAGGTGAAGAGGATAAAGGAGAGGGGGAAGAATTAGGGAACAGAGAGGCAAGAACTAGAGAGTCCCAGAAAATGCCTGTGACAGTGGGACAGGGAGAAAGCATGAAGCGAGCCGAGGCAAACCGAGTACCTGTCTGAGCTGAAAGACGCCGCCTGTGTTGACGTCCTTGGCCTGGTGAAGCTCCACAGCAGCATACTCCCCTAGCTCGTTCAGCTCCAGGATGGAGATCCACATCTCTATTCTGCGAGTAACTTCGTTCCACCTGCAGAAACACGTCCCAGCAAACAACCAAGTCATTATTCTTTCAACATTTATTTATTCTTATTTATTTGACTTTGTCGGGTCTTAGTTGCAGCATGTGTGTGTGCTCAATCTTGGCCAACTCTTTGCGACCCCATGGATTGTATAGCCTGCCAGGCTCCTCTGTCCATGGGATGATCCTGGCAAGAATACTGGAGTGGGCTGCCATTTCCTCTTCCAGGGGATCTTCCTGACCCAGGGATCGAACCTGCATCTCCTGCATTGGCAGGTGAATTCTTTACCGTGGCACCACCTGGGAAGCGCCTTAGTTGCAACACCTGGGCTCAGGAGTTGCACAGTCTCTACTTGCGGCTCATGGGCTTAGTTGTCTCTCAACAAGTAGGAGTGTAACTTCCCCGACTACGGATTGAATCCACGTCCTCTGCAGTGGAAGATGGATTCTTAACCACTGGAGCCCCAGGAAAGTCCCATCCATGTCATTATTAATCAAACACATTATTAGCAATGGGAAGAAGCCCCAAGTCACTGAGCATTTATTATGCGTAAGGCACTGTGCTATGTGTATCACACAAATTATTTTCTTATTTAATAAACTCTCAAAACAACCTCCTATGGTATAGGTTCTTTTCATTTATTTTATTGAGTGAATAAAATTTATTGAGTGAATAAAATGGACAGTTCACATATTCAGTGAACTGTTTAGCTCTGAAGCGTAGAGCTGGATGAGTCGTGACAAATGCACACATCTGTGCCCCTTGTCTGGCCATGACCACAGCAGGTTTGCTCAGGCCCCTTCCCCATCAATTCCCACACCATTCACAATAGCTGTATAACCTCAGATTAGTTCTATCTGTTCAAGAAATTCATATAAATGGAATCATGTAGTATTGTGCTCTTCTAGCTCTAGCTTCTCTGATTCAGAATAAAGTTTGTGAGATTTGTCCAAATGGGTAAGAGTGGGACAGAGTCCTTTTCCTTTTTATTGTTGAGTAATAGTCTATTGTGTGACTAATAACACAGTTTATTTCTCACACTGAAGGACATCTGGGTTGTTTATAGTTTGGGGGACATTATGAATAGAACTGCCATAAACATTTATGTACCAGGCTGCTTATGGACTTGCATTTTCATTTTTCTTGGGCAAATAAGTAGAAGGATGATTGCTGGGTCATGGTAGAGGCAAATGATCAACTTTAAAAGAAGATACCCTCCTGTTATCTTCTATAAGCTATATAGTTTTATCTTTTACATTTAAAATCATGCTCCATCTCAAATTAAGTTTTGTGGAATCATGTGAATTAAAATCAAGGTTGTTTTCTTCCAAATAGAACCCAGATGTCTCAGTCTCATTAAAAAGATGTTCCTTTCCCCATTGAATTTTTTCAAAACCTGGTAGTTTCTTTCATCATTCCCATTTCACAAAGGAGGAAATAGGCTCAGAGAGTCCTAATTCTCAACTGCTGTCCAAGCGTGAGCCTTGACCCCGCGTCTGAAGCCCTCAGCCAAGCACACACCTGTCATGCAGTGTTCTCGTCTTAGCATGAAGGGAATCGACTTCCCAGATGGAGCTGCCGTTCCCGGTACACCGGTGGCCCCACACTTCGATGGCCAGTGCTCCATCTGAGATGAACTCCAGGAATTCTTCCGTTACGTTCACCACGTAGTCCTGGGATAAGCAGGGGAAAGGGAACAGGACAGGAATTATGCAGAAAGGAATCTGTGAAATTTCCTTGTTACCTTTCAACTGGACAGATTCACTTCAGAGTAGGTTAGCCTGATCCCGACTTTAAACCCACTGCTGCTGTTGGACAGAAAACAGCAAAGAAACCAGCATTACTAGATGGGAAGGGATACTCCGAGCTAACTGCATTGAGTTCCTTTCTTTAATACAAGAGGACACCGAGGAAAGCAGCTGCCCCACGTCACACCGCTTGCTGCTGCAGAGCTGAACCTGTCCTCCCTTGTGGTTCGGTCTCTTCTCCCCACACCACTCCGACTTTCAGCTGGAACAGACCGATCAGCACAGCCAAAAAAAAAAAAAAGAGGAATTTATGACTGTTCTTTGCTATGGCTTAGGAGACTAAAAACAGAATTAAATTTTATATGATTATCTCCACCCATCTGCACTCTTGCTCTTAAACTCTCCCACTCCAACTTTGCAAAAAACGTTCACTTATTTATATCTTCTATAAGCTATATAGTTTTATCTTTTACATTTAAAATCATGCTCCATCTCAAATTAAGTTTTGTGGAATCATGTGAATTAAAATCAAGGTTGTTTTCTTCCAAATAGAACCCAGATGTCTCAGTCTCATTAAAAAGATGTTCCTTTCCCCATTGAATTTTTTCAAAACCTGGTAGTTTCTTTCATCATTCCCATTTCACAAAGGAGGAAATAGGCTCAGAGAGTCCTAATTCTCAACTGCTGTCCAAGCGTGAGCCTTGACCCCGCGTCTGAAGCCCTCAGCCAAGCACACACCTGTCATGCAGTGTTCTCGTCTTAGCGTGAAGGGAATCGACTTCCCAGATGGAGCTGCCGTTCCCGGTACACCGGTGGCCCCACACTTCGATGGCCAGTGCTCCATCTGAGATGAACTCCAGGAATTCTTCCGTTACGTTCACCACGTAGTCCTGGGATAAGCAGGGGAAAGGGAACAGGACAGGAATTATGCAGAAAGGAATCTGTGAAATTTCCTTGTTACCTTTCAACTGGACAGATTCACTTCAGAGTAGGTTAGCCTGATCCCGACTTTAAACCCACTGCTGCTGTTGGACAGAAAACAGCAAAGAAACCAGCATTACTAGATGGGAAGGGATACTCCGAGCTAACTGCATTGAGTTCCTTTCTTTAATACAAGAGGACACCGAGGAAAGCAGCTGCCCCACGTCACACCGCTTGCTGCTGCAGAGCTGAACCTGTCCTCCCTTGTGGTTCGGTCTCTTCTCCCCACACCACTCCGACTTTCAGCTGGAACAGACCGATCAGCACAGCCAAAAAAAAAAAAAAGAGGAATTTATGACTGTTCTTTGCTATGGCTTAGGAGACTAAAAACAGAATTAAATTTTATATGATTATCTCCACCCATCTGCACTCTTGCTCTTAAACTCTCCCACTCCAACTTTGCAAAAAACGTTCACTTATTTATTTATGTCAGTGCTCGGGCTTCTCACTGTGGTGGCTTTTCTTGTTGTAGAGCACAGGTTCTAGGGTGCACGAGCTTCGTAGTTGCAGCTCCCACAGTCTGAAGCACAGGCTTGGTAGTTGTTACACCGGCTTAGTTGCTCCTTGACATGTGGCATGTGGGATCCCCAGAACAGGGATCGAACCCGTATCTCCTGCACCGGCAGGCGGATTCTTTACCACTGAGCCACCAGGAAGGCCCTCTCACTCCAACTTTTCGCAGATGAGTGAAGAAATAGATGCGGAATGGATGGAGCAGTAAAGCAAATCACCCAGAACAAAGCAGAAAGGCAAGGAACTTTAATTTCCTTCCCATTAGCAGGAAAGGGAAGGAAACGGAAAGGCTGTGCTGTGCCGTATTGGTTTAACGTTATACTACCTAACTTATTTTATTTGGAGATCAGTACAGTTCAGTCACTCAGTTGTGTCTGACTCTTTGCGACCCCATGGACTGCAGCACGCCAGGCTTCCCTGTCCACCAACTCCCACAGCTTGCTCAAACTCATGTCTGTCGAATTGGTGATGTCATCCAACCATCTCATCCTCTGTTGTCTCCTTCTCCTCCTGCCTTCAATCTTTCCCAGCATCAAGGTCTTGTTTAATGAGTCAGATCTTCACATCAGGTGGCCAAAGTATTGGAGCTTCAACGTCAGCATCAGTCCTTCCAATGCATATTCGGGGTTGATTTCCTTCAGGACTGACTGGTTTGATCTCCTTGCAGTCCAAGGGACTCTCAAGAGTCTTCTCCAGTACCACAGTTCAAAAGTATCAATTTTTTGGCACTCAGCTTTCTTTATGGTCCAACTCTCACATCCATACACGACTACTGGAAAAACCATAGCTTGACTAGATGGACCTTTGTCGACAAAGTAATGTCTCTGCTTTTTAACATACTGTCTAGGTTGGTCATAGCTTTTCTTCCAAGGAGCAAGTGTCTTTTAATTTCATGGTTGCAGTCATCATCTGCAGTGATTTTGGAGCCCAAGAAAATAAAGTCTCTCACTGTTTCCATTGTTTCCCCATCTAACTGCCATGAAGTGATGGGACCAGATGCCATGATTTTTGTTTTTTGAATGTTGAGTTTTAAGCCAGCTTTTTCACTCTCCTATTTTACTTTCATCAAGAGGCNGGTTAAAGCTGAGCTGATGATTTCTTTTAATACTAAGCACATTCTTGTTTCTCCACTGAAAGGAAGACTAAAAATAACTGCAACAATTTGCCTGGGAGGATTGTTTGGATAAATCAGGTTTTTCCATTTTCAAAAGACCTTAGACATTGAAAGCTTAATATTCTCTGTGAATACATAAGAATCAGCATCCATACACATAACTCCCACTTTTCAAATCTGAGGGTGTAAACTCCCACATGTGTTCATGCAACTAATAGAAGAAGCAAAAACATAGAAAGCTTTGTCCACTATGGTGTTAGTGATATTATGTAACTGACCTTCTCCCTAGTGTCTACATACATTAAAATGTTTTCTTTTATAATTCCCTTAGAAAACTCTACATTCGAATCTGTCTCCATGTCAAGTGCTTTAAATTATACCTCTTTAGTAGTTATATCATAGTTCATGAATTCTGTCTATGGAAAGGTATATTATTGGTATCCACTCAGGCTGAGATGGAATAGCTGCTATAATGAGTACCTATTTAGTAATTTTTTTCATTTATTTTTATTAGTTGGAGGCTAATTACTTCACAACATTGCAGTGGGTTTTGTCATACATTGACATGAATCAGCCATGGAGTTACATGTATTCCCCATTCCGATCCCCCCTCCCACCTCCCTCTCCACCTGATTTCTCTAGGTTAGGATGTATTTTAAATCCAGGTTCCACCCTTCTAAAGGAGCAACTTTTCGGCTCTAAAGAAATATGAGAAATAATTAAAAGAATATTCAGAGAACAATAACAACAACAACAATAAAAGATTAATAAAGAATTGACAAATAGACTTGGTGAACACCGCTTAAAAAAAGTGGGCTACTTGATTTCATAAAAATAATGACTTGACAACTGATGAATTTATTTGCAAGGCAGCAATAGGGAAACAGACATAGAGAACAGACTTATGGGCATGGGGAGAGGGGAGGAGAGGGTGAGACATACGGAGAGAGTAACATGGAAACTTACATTACCATATGCAAAATAGACAGACAGTGGGAATTTGCTGTAGGTCTCAGGGTGCTGAGTCAGGGACTCTGTATGAACCTAGAGGAAGGGGATGGGGAGGGAGATGGGGGGGAAGTCCAAGAGGGAGGGGACACATATACCCCTACGGCTGATTCATGTTGAGGTTTGACAGAAAGCGACAAAGTTCTGTAAAGCAATTATCCATCAATTAAATAAATTTAAAAAGGCGAAAAAAAGAATGACTTGACAGACTTTACATATGTGAAATTTTACAAGTGATGATATGGATGTGTTTTCTAAGTGTTGAACAAGAAAAAATGGGCACAATTTCAAAAAAAATAGTAGTCTTGAGAATCTATTATGAATTGTCCATGGAAAATAACTGTAATATATAGTGGAACTGTATGTAAAAAATGAAGTACACTTGGAGGTTAAAAAGCCTAATAAACATATTATATTTCATAATGGGGAAAACCTATAAGTTACAAGTAGACTTCTGAACTGGGCTCCGAGTGGCAGCCTCCCAGGTAGCTCACTTTGCAGTGGCATTTGTACCTTACAGTGAGAGAAGGTCACGGTGTACTGGGCATCCTTGGACTGCGGGGAAGGCACCTCAGGGTCCACAACAGGGGCTGCCACCGTGGATTCACACTGGTCCCAGAACGTGTACTGACAGAAGACGAAATTTGAGAGGTTTAAGGGCAGCCCAGTTGCTTCTTTAATTTTTACCTGAAGAGAAAAAAAAAAACACGCAAATATAACTCTCATAAAGGAAACAAACTATGCATGCTTTTCATAGGGATGAAATAAATCAGTCATCCATTTGACATCTGAAGTATTCTTGCCTGGGAGATTCCACGGACAGAGGAACCTGGTGGGCCACAGTCCATGGGGCCGAAAAGAGTCAGACATGACTGAGTACACACGCATACAAGAGCGTCTGTAATGACATCTGTATCACAGTTTTGTAACTACAGTATATGAGCATGGTGACAATTGCACACATCGCTTTCAAATTTTCCTGATGACTGAGTTTCAGATACAGCTGCAACCTTTACTAGAAAAGCATGATTCACTAAACAATATACACTCCTTGCAGCTCACATGCATAGACACTTTTGAAACTTCACACAACTGTCAGCATAAAGTGTGCTATACTTCTGGAAAAAGTACTATCCATTACCATGTTTGCTGTCAGAAAGTTTAACTTGTACCATGTTCTATGCAGGGGCTTCCCTCATAGCTCAGTTGGTAAAGAATCTGCCTGCAATGCAGGAGGCCCCGGTTCGATTACTGGGTCGGGAAGATCTGCTGGAGAAAGGACAGGCTCCCCACTCCAGTATTCCTGGGCTTCCCTGGTGGCTCAGCTGGTAAAGAATCTGCCTGTAATGTGGGAGACCTGGGTTCGATTCCTGGGTTGGAAAGATTCCCTGGAGAAGGGAAAGGCTACTCATTCCAGTGTTCTGGCCTAGAGAATTCCATAGGCTGTATAGTCCATGCGTCGCAAAGAGTCGGACACGACTGAGCGATTTTCACTCACTCGCTCACTCATGTTATATGCAAAATGCCCAAGATTTTCCATCAAATTGTTTGAATGGAAAAGATCACTTATTCGAGCCTCCGCAGCCCCGCCCTCTCACCCGGCATGTCAGTTTCTTGACTCGGTGAATGATTTCCCCAGTGCTGTCTACAACTTCGAGGCTCCCACTTTCACTGGAGTTCTCCGAGGAGTCGTCTTCCACCATGCGCTCCGGGACGGCGCCTGTAACTCGCATCACTTCCACGTGGAGACGCCCTGCAACCTGGGTCAAGGAACCAGAGCACTGAGGGGTTAAAAGGCAGCCTGTGGACAAAACCAACCTGAGATGGAAAGGATGCAACCATAACCCCCAGTGAGCAGCTCCACTGTGACAACTAGGCCACCTCCAGCAACAGGAAACTTCCAGCGCTAGTCCACTCCATCACCTGCTCGGAAATCACCAGGCTTTACTTGGAGCAAAATGTGCCTCCTGGAATCATCTTCACTCTTACCCTTCTTCTACAGGACAGTTCATGAACAGCACAAAGGCAGCTAACACATGTTACTTGGAGTCATCTATTTCCCTTGTTCATATATTCATTCACATACTCATCTGATCAAATACCTGGCATCGTGGGGAACACCAAGATAAAGACACGGGCTCTGCTGTCTGGATGCACACAGTCAAATGAGGAGACAGAGAATTAAAAACCCAGGAACAGCAGTATAGACTAACTGCTCTAACAGAGATATGTGCGGGTTGTCACGAGATGAATTTATCCACCTGACAAATATTTACAGAGAAGTGACTGGGTGCCAGGGAAGGTACGAAGCATTGCGTTTACAACAGTAAACCAAACAGTCAGGCCACTGGGCTCATATGGCCTCTATTCTCTTGGGAGCAGAAAGGGCGAACAGACCTCACATAGTGGCTGGAAGCAGGGTGAAGGGTGAGACCTACTCCAGGAGGGAGGACAAATACAAAGCCACTAAGTTATAAGGAAACAGTTCCTTTAAGGTGGTTTTTCTGAAAAAAGGGGGTGGGTGGGGCTTGAAGTCTCCATCCCCTTAACGGTTCTCTGGATCGTTGAAAGTTTAGCAGCATCTCTCCTGTAACTGCTGGCACAGAACTGAATGTAATGGGTGGAATCACCCAACCTTTGCAGACTTGCAGTGCGGTAATCGACCAGGTTTATCTCTGAGACCACACTTTAAGGTTGGAATGACAAATCGTGAAGGGGACACACGCGCTGGCAGTGCTGCTGTCATCTTAAACAGTGAGGCTCATTCTCAAAGATAGCTCAGATCACCCTCTGCAGAGCAACTGGCCCTGGCACCCAGGACCTGCGAGAAATGAGTTGATGGTATTTGACAAGTGAGACAAATGTGGAGGAAGGAGTATGAGAAAGGGAAGAAAGGAAATAGGAGAAATCAGTTAGAAGATGGTACTTCTTAAGCTTTTTTCCCCTAATGTTTTTTGAGAACCTAATATATTTTTAGTAAAATTTTAGGGGGATCAATGGAACACTCAAAGCCCACCATGGAACCTAGCTTAAGTAACCCTGACTAGGGACTCAGCTACTAGGTCCCTTTGCCATGGGAGTTGTGCCCATTTTTAACATGGCAAACAGTAACTTACTTCATTAGTTTCCTATAGCATAGTGTTCACAGGGGGGTTACATGTGGGGGAATATGAGCCATGTACTTACACATCACAGCTGGGAACCTTGGGTTTATTTTCTGGGTTCACTTCAGGCAGAGTGGAGCCCTATTCTCAGCCTGCTCTAAGAACCACAAACCATACGTAAACTACACAGTCAGTGGGAATATGTTGTATGATGCAGAGAGCTCAAACTGGTGCTTTGCGACAACCTAGAGGGGTGGGATGGGGTGGGAGGAAGGTTCAAGAGGGAGTGGACATACGTATGCTTATGGCTGATTCACGCTGATGCTTGGCAGAAACCAACACAACATTGTACAATTATCCTTCAATTAAAAATAAATTTTAAAAGTAAAATAAAAATGTAACTTAAAAAAAGAATCATGAAAAGCAACTTAGTATTCCCAAGTTTGCGTGTTATTAAAGAACAAATTACTTTTAAATTTAGTAGCATCATGAAATATTGATATTACTAAATTTAAAATGAAGACATTCATTGATGAACTGGGTAATAAAAAAAAAGTTAGAACTTGAACATTTTTCTGAAATGTTTCAGGCTGACATAAGGCCAATATAATGAAATAATTGAAATATGAGAGGCATTGTTTTTAAAGAGGTGGTAACAATAGGATGGTTAAGCTTGTTTTGAATACTTCAGATTTCAAAATAATCCTCTCAAGTTATATCTTATAAGGGCTTCCCTCGTGACTCAGATGGTGAAGAATCTGCCCGCAATGAGGGAGATCTGGGTTCAATCCCTGGGTTGGGAAGATCCCCTGGAGAAGGGAACTGCTACCCACTCCAGTATTCTAGCCTGGAGAAGTCCATGGACAGAGGAGCCTGGCAGGCTATACAGTCCATCGGGTCACAGAGAGCTGGACATAACTGGGCAACTTTCACTTTCATTTTTATATCCTGTAAAGATCACTTGGGGGCCAGGAAGGAGCTAAAGGGTATTATGGAGGTAAGAGCGTCAAAGAGAAGTCAATGTGGGGCACAGAGCCGAATCTGGTTTCCAAAAGATTTCTAACTCAATTAAAACAAAGAAAATCCTTGTGAACCACAAACAAAATCATGTTCTAATAATCTTTTAAAGCCATGAGTTAATGTTGATAGTTTCTACTGATATTAGTAGAGGAAAAGAATGTGATCCTGAGGCTTCACCCTAGTTTCTGGGTCTAAATCAAGAACATAACTTAAATCGAGTTAAAACAAACAAACAAACAAACAAAACCCCACACTTGAGCCATGGTCATTTTCTCCCAGGCTGGCTCGTCCTTACCTCCCCCTGCTGGCTGATGATAGGAACTGCATACTGAAGCTTCACATCACAGAAGAGACACTCCAGGAACACATTAGCGACACCAATCAGGTTGTGATTCTCTTGGGCTTCATAGAAGGGGTCACCTCGTTTCCCACAGAGTCGCTTAGCCTGAGTGGCAGGACAGGTTAGGGGGTTGGGGGTAGGGGGTGAGTAGGAAAGAAAACATCAACCTAATAACTATTTAAAACCATCTATTTTAAAATGTTTCAAAAAGAAAGCATTTATCCACATCAATTAAAAGTAAAATCAGAATCATGTCATAAAATAAAACAAAACTAGCACACGGGAGGGGCTTGTTAGTTAGGGCGATAACTAATGAAAAGGCGTGGAAAGCCTTTCTTCAGTTATAGCCCCACCCACCACACACCCCACCCCAACCCTCCCCGTCTTCCCTGGCACAGCCTACCTTTTTTCCATTACTCATGTCAGAACAATGGACCATGCTCTCTAAAATTATTCTTAGCATGTACCCAGCCATGAACACCGCTAGGGGAGCATAAGCATATGCTAATGAATACAAAATCCATGCTGGCCCATCTAAGCTGACTTTTAACACCACCTAACAAAACAGCACAAACCCACTTTGTTCCACTTCATTTCACTTGAAATGTACTCAAGATGCAGAAGGTGCTAGATGTTCTCTTCACTTAGTTCCTATCTGTGTGAGGATCACATATTTTATGACCTTTCAAGATCACGTTCACTTTACATTTCTAATATAAATGTCCCAAGCATCACTACAGATATTCAGTGATGCCCGTGTGTGTGTTCTGATGACTGTGTTAGTCACTTAGTCATGTCCGACTCTTTGTGACCCCATGGACTGGAGCCCGCCAGGCTCCCCCATCCATGAAATTCTCCAGACAAGAACAGTGGAGTGGATTGTCATTTCCTTCTCCAGTTCTGATGGCTAAATCACTTATATTCTGCCCTTTTAATGCAACCAAAGCTCCTTGACATTTTGCCCCTTTTACCTCAGGAATCTTTTCCTTCCATTCTTGATAAAGTTCTCTCATATCAATTAATTTATTCTCCAGCTTCTCAATGGTCCACACTTGGGTGCTCTTTCCTTTCCTCCTCACTTGAATAGCTGGCTCACTCACTATTGCTCCTCTCTGTAGAATGTAGGAAAACGAAGACAAAAAAACAAACACAGCAAATCATGGTATAACGTTTTGGACTGCTGAAGCAATATGCACTATCACAAAGTAGAAAGTTTGAAGAAGACACATAATGTATACAAAGAAAGACGAAATCTACCATATATGGAATATTCTAGTTTATTTTCAATCTTCTTTGTAGGGCTGTGCACGCATGTTTTATTTTTAATCACAATCAGAACCAAGCAAAAATACAGATTTCCCATCCCAATTCTTTCTCCACAGTTAACCTTTTTGTGTGGTTAAATATTCTTCAGAAATATAATGTTTAATAGCAACAAAGTGATCTGTTATGGGGATATATCACTCATTTGACTAATTAGTCTACTGCCCAACATCATGGCTGTTTCAAATGTTTGCTATTACAAAGGTAACTATGATAAGCATCCTTGTACAAAAGCACATAAACCTTTACAAACACTTCTATAAGTATGGATTTAGAGTAAATTTCACAAAGGAGAACTACTTGGTCAAAAGACTAAAATGCAAGAAGGCTGATAAGATACCCTCTGACTCATTTCTCGCTCACTTGTAAGGAGAGAAAAATGAACGGAGGGAAAAATTACTTTTCAAAGTTTCTCCCTAAAGAAAAAAATCTTGAAGTTTTAATGATGGAAACTTCCGAGGGGCTGCAAAGAATCCTTCTGTGTACATAAAACAGGGATTATAGGAGTTTTCCTTTCTTGTTACTCTCTCAGAATTGTACTATTATAAGATATTTACACATCCCCCATTTCAGGAGGCATTTATATGAGAGAGAAAAGCAAGAGGAGTTAGTTATATCCATTTCTAGTTTCAATGTTTTATTATTTATTTCTGGCTGCACTGTGTAGCGTGTGGCATCTTAGTTCCCCAACTAGGGAGTGAATCCTGGACCACAGCAGTGAAAGAGCAGAGTCCTAACCACTGGACCACCAGGGAATTCCCAAGTTTCAATGTTTTAAAGAAAGTATTTAAACTAGCAAGTCTTTTAGCCCTCTGGATTCTCATATTCTGATCATATATACCCAAAGAGGTTTCTAGAGGGGGTCTCTAAAAGAACAAACCCTCTGGCTCACGTCAGGGTCTCTTCACAGGTGTTCTGCAGATGTCAAGGTTATGTTCTACCTCTCAGAAGCTACTACCGCGCCTCTTGCCCTCTTCCTCTTTGAGAGCATTCTCACCTTCCTGTTGGCACTGAGGTTCGCGGCAGGGATCTGCAGAGTCACCTGGTAGTCGGTGAGCTTGCTCATCTCCTCGGCTAAGAAATTTGCCTCTCTCACCAGGGTGTTGGCTTTCACCAGCTGCTCCCGCAGTTTTGCCAGGCTTTGGCGAAAGAGTTCGTCCCTGCGAGCAGCAGAGAAGGAAATGAGAACATCCGGAAGAAAACTGCAATCCCATTTTCCAAGTGAGTCATATTATTAGAAAGTAGTAAGAATCTCCTCTCAGACTATTATCTTTCAACCTATCATTGCCAATTCACCTCTTATTCTTCCCTCTTCCCACCAGGGTTCCATAGGCTATTCACTTGTAACCAGGGATGAGGAGCAAATGTGTGGGGTAACTTAACTTCCAACCATGTTTTAAATTATATAATATTTGAAAAAGAATCAATTTTGAAATGAAAATGCAAAAAAAAAAAAAAAGCTCAATAAAGCATTCCTTTAGGAAAAAGAAATCATTATGACTTTTGTAAGCTTTGCAGTGGAGGAAGTCTAGAATAAGGAGAAAGTGTTTTATGTGATTTCTTCACTTGGTAAATGTGAGAAGTAGGTACTTTTGGGGCAGCAGAAGTTTGCTTTTCAACTCTAAATGGTAGAGCTTCCTGATAAATGTGTCTCTAACATCCTGACCAGATCCAAAAACCCTATTACATATTTTCCCAGAGCCACATCTTTTGCCTCAGTAGTCTTCATCATGTAGCTCAGCTGGTAAAGAATCCGCCTGCAATGCAGGAGCTCCCAGTTCGATTCCTGGGTTGGGAAGATCTACTGAAGAAGGGATAGGCTACTCACTCCAGTCTTCNGTGCTGTTGGGATCATAAAAAAGCACCATTCCTAGACTGCGGCAAGAACACAACAGAGCTTTGCAATAATTTGTTGTCTTTACTGTTGTTACCATTTCCTCCACCACTGCCTCAGTTCTGATACAAATATTTTAAAGTTGTAAATTTAAAAAATTCAGATTTCTTAACATTAAAACGGCATTTAAATTGACTTCAAAGTAAGAGAAATAACAAGAAATGCTTTTTATGCTTTGAGTGAGTGAAAGTCATGTCCAATTTTTGGGACCCCATGGACTGTAGCCCGCCAGGCTCCTCTGTCCATGGATTTCTCAGGCAAGAATACTGGAGTGGGTTGCCATTTCCTTCTCCAGAGGATCTTTTGGACCCAGGGATCAAACCCGGATCTCTTGCACTGCAGGCAGATTCTTTACCATGGGAGACACCAGGGAAGCCCGTTTTTATACTTGAGAACCATTCAGTTGTTCTTTACTTCAAAACCAGTGGTATTCTAACTTGGAACCATTTTTACTGAAGGGTAACGGGGCAGGTGTAATCTTTAACAACCGACGTCACAGTAAACATACTTGAAAGTGGAAAAGTGAAGTCTCTCAGTTGTGTCCGACTCTTTCGGACCCCATGGACCTGTAGCCCGCCAGCCTCCTCCATCCATGGGGTTCTCCAGGCAAGAAGACTGGAGTGGGTTGCCATTTCCTTCTCCAGGGAATCTTCCTTGAAAGACAAGGCGACCACTAGCAATTCAGACATGGAAGTAAGATTTCCCTCTTTGCTAGGTTTGCCCCCTTTGACGTGCCTTACGACGGCCTCCCCCGAGGCCCCGAGGCCCCGAGGCCCTGAGGCCTTGCCCCGGCCCCCGGGTCCCCTTCCTACCTCTCCTCGGCCCACTGGGTCACCTTCTGCTGCGCCGTCTGGCTGCTGTAGGCCAGGCGGTCGGGGCCGCTGCTCTGGGGCTGCCGCTCCGGGGACAGCTGCTGGCGGAGCTGCTCCAGTTCCCGCTCGTACATGAGCCGCTGCTCCTCGAGAGCGCTCCGCTTTTCTTCCAGGTACTGTTTCTCCAGGACCTGCACCACGTTCTGAACTGGGTCTGGTGACCAAGAGACAAGGCAAGGGGCTCTTCAGCGGTGGCTCGGACAGGCAGCGCCCCCCAACCCCAGCGAGGCTTCTAACAAGAACCATCTCCTCCCCCAGACGGAGCCTTTCCGTGGGCTTGTCTGTGAGCGGCCGGCCCGGCCCGGCCAGGTGGAATTCTCTCCATTTCCTTTTTCTTAACATTTCAGATTAAACACCTTGTATAGAAACACTCCTCACATCTATTATTACGTTCCTCAATTTGATGAGCTTGCCCTGATGTCTACATAGGTGGTTCAACTACAAAAAGAAGAGGGTAAAGGAAAAAGCGATGGTATTCTCTCCACCAAGAAGAAAGACTCAATGAAATCTAAGGTGATTTCAAAGACAGAGCCACACAAGATTTGATTTTACGTCGTCACTTTTTAGGTGCATTTAGCACTGGTTTTAGTTGACAAAGGGTTTATAGTTCCCATGGACAAATCCATTGACAAAGGGTTTCTAGTTCCAATTTGGCTAAAAATTTGTTTCTCTTGAATTTCTCTAATGTGGGAGGAAACTTAGAGATCACAGCATCTGTTTGAAAATATGAATTGCGTATATGGCCTGGCAATTTCTCAGGTGTTAATAGCCAAGAAAGCAATTCACTTGTCAAAACAAATATCTACTTCTGCTTTTTTGCTTTTGCAGATTGAGAGATGACCAACATACGTGTGGGTGAACAGGTATTAGAAACACTAATAGATCTTATTTAAAGGGGCCCTGACTATGACGAGGGGTGGTTATGGTGTAGGTAGGGCTCAATCCTAAAGAGTTAGCTGGCTGTGCCAGGACATTAGCTTGGTAACAGCCAATGACCTGGATGCAGTGGACAAAGATTAAGGAAAGCACAGATCACGTGTATGAAAGAGAAAGCTATGACACATCTAAGTGAGGAGGCCATAATAGGGAAACAGTATGTTAAGACAATCTGGGTGGTAAAGAAAGAAATTTACCATAAGGGTGAGTATTTCCTTGAAGTACATAGGACCTAGGAGATTTACTTATATTCTCAGACTAGTTTGTGATTCACAGACTTGCCTATTACTCAGTGCAGTGTTCTATTTCTACAAATTGACTCTCATTTTAATTTCTGGGATAAGAGAAGGAAATTAAGAGGAATCTTCACATCACCTGATGATGGATACTGACTGACTTGACCAGAAGACCCTATCAATTTGTGAAATAAGCATTCATATTTTACTAGTTTTCTATATGAGAAGAGGAAAAAATAGCACTTTAGCTTAAAAAAGAAAGTTAAATAATACAAAACAGAGTAAAAGTAATTTTAAAAAATCACTAGATATGCACAGTATAGGTGAGTTGTTTTAATAAAAATGATGACCACAAACAGCAATAATAATTCAACTATCTGTTGGCTTATGTCTCAGGGTAGAGGCACTCTATGCTTCACATGCATCATCTCATGAAAGCCTTGAAACACACCTAGGGGTGGACAGCATTCCCATTTTAAAGACGAGACAACTGCAGCTCAGAAAGGTTAAGAGGCCAACCTAAGGCGGCACAGCTGATAAGAAAAGCAGCAGAGCCAGGTTTTGCACTCAGACCAGAGTTAATTATCTGGGGTAGGAAACACACTTAGTAATAAATTATACTCTTACCTCCAATGTTTTCCTCAGAATTAGTACTCTGCTAAAGAACAGATGTTTAAAAAATACTGTTCTTTGCTGATGTAAAATTCTAAAATTCATTTTTTTTTCAAAGCAGGAATATTTTTATTCACAGACTCCTGATGTAAGAGTCCCTGAAATGCATTACCTGAAAGGCCAGTGAGAAATGGACTCTTAAAAAAAAAACCCTCTCACACAAAGACAGACCATGGCTGCGTAAGACCTTTCCCGTAGTGAAAGCTGACATACTCCAAAGGATTAGAACTTCTGATACAGTCTTATAACCTCTGGAAGAAAAATTGTGAATAATATGGTAATGCTTTTTGAGTGAGTTTTAAAAAATTTTACATGTAAGGGCGAGAGAAGAAAAGTTCTCTCAGAATTTTATATATATGTATATTTCTCAAACTATAAATATATTTCTCTCTATTTAGGCTCTAGGTCTCAAAAAGAAAGGACAGAGTCCTCACCATCGATTTATAGGGCCCTAACTTAGTGTGTATGAACCTTTTTTCAGAGAAAGAAAACTGGAAAACACACCAATTTTTTTTTATAAAATCATATTCTAGGGCTTTGGCTAAAAAACACTGAATAAGATGTTTAATTCTCATTTCTGCTTGCTGGTCAATGGTGTGTAGGAACACACATATGCCAAGTGGCTGAGGAGGGGGCTCCATGCCAACGTACAAGTGATGTGACTGGTCATGACATAGCGCCCCTACTGCTCACCAGGCCTTCTCAGGAGCCACGGATCAACACACAGATGCACAAAAGGGCAACTCCAAGCATCCTTCCCCTCGCCTGCCATGGACCAGCCCGGGAAGCCCTGCTCGGGGACTCCAGGGTGACCGGGATACACAGAGTCCCGAACAGCTACAGAGGCTGAGGTTTCTTTTTTTCTCTGACCCCAACACAAGTCTGGAAACACTTTTCCCTTAGACGTATTTGATAACATTTTCTTTCTGAATTAATTAACCTATTTTAAGCCTTTCTCACTATACAGCATTTTTTTTTTTTTTTTTGCCACATGTCACAGGTTGTGGGATCTTAGTTGCCGGAGCAGGGATCGAACCCAGGCCCTTGGAGGTAAAAGCATTGAATCCTAACCGCTGGGAATTCCCTATACAGCATATTCTTTTTTGTTTGTTTGTTTTTAAATTTAAACTTTTTATTTTGTATTGGGGTATAGTCAATTAACAATGTTGTGACAGTTTCAGGTGAACAGCAAAGGGACTCAGCCATACCTATACATGTATCTGTTCTCCCTATATCGCATACTCTTAAAAAGATCATCCCAATCAGCCTGTCAGTCTGACTCTGTGATATGGGCAAAGACAGAAACCAAAGATGGTCTGGCCTGTTCTCAAATCACCAGTCCACTATGAAGAGACTGTTAACAGTTTCCTTCATTTCCCTATCACTTTCTTTCTCTTGAATGAACTGTTTTAAAACTCAGTGAGCCTGAAGCCTCAGGCCAAGAAACCAAAGGGGTAAGTGTTTTAGGAGGAGAGAAAGGACTTCTTTTCCTTTGGGCATAGCATGCTCCCTCCTTCCTTACTTTATTCTCTGCCTGGTACATAACTACGCAATGAGCGCAAACTTCCCTGTTTGTTCTGAGAATGGGAAAGAGAGAGGGTGATGGTGTAAAGGTTGAAGGGCATTTATGCGACCCAGAGGAAAGTGAAAGTCACTCGGTTGTGTCCGACCCTTGACCCCATGGTCTACACAGCCCATGGAATTCTCCAGGCCAGAATACTGGAGTGGGTAGCCTTTCCCTTCTCCAGGGGATCTTCCCAACCCAGGGATCAAACCCAGGTCTCCCACATTGCAGGAGGATTCTTTACCAGCTGAGCCACAAGGGAAGCCCCATGACCCAGAAAATTTAAAAAAAAAAGTGACCCAGAAAATTAGAATTAATTCGTATCAAGATGCCTAAGGCACTGAAGGGCAGAATAGATCCTTCAAGGTAAAAAAAAGAACCTTTTAATCCCAGATGGAATAAGCTCTTGGGCCCTTCACCAGCCCCTCAGTTCTTCTTTATTTCGGAGCTGCCACTGACTCTGTGAAAACAGTTGTTGTCGAGAAAAACGTATCATGGTCTAAAAATACTAGGTTTGCTTTCACTCTTAATTCAAATGAATTGGGTTTTAGACCATTAATTATTCCAGAGATTTGAAGATACGCTATTTCAGTTTATCACTGGGATAATGCAGGTGACTATTTACCCAGAAGTACCATATCCTGAACTGCAGTCCTGTCGACAGAAATAAAAATACCAGAGACACTTCTGGCTGTCGGCTACACGAGGAAAAGAACAGCCACCAGATTCTAACCATTGGGAAGGCCGTGGAATTCAGGAACGGGGAGGAAGCGGTCATCACTGGAAAGGGAACATTCCCCCAACAAGAATTCAGAGCACCTCTGCCAGGCAGAAGACTGCAAAGTCTCCCCCATCATGTTAGACCTGGCCAAAGCATGAAGCACAAGCGCCAACAGGCATTCCTGCTAAAAACCAGCCAAGCTCCCTCAAGCGAAAGCCAATGCGTTAAAACCTTTATCCCAGTGTTTGTGGAGGAGCTTCGTCTGAAACCACATGAGAGGGAAGAGAATCTTCAAATAGGACCACCAAGGGGACGACCACCAGGCAGACAGGCTTATGATCGGGAAGCCACCTAACAGTAGAGGTGAAGAGCGTGAATTCTGCCGGCCGCCGGCATCTCAGCATCGTATCGGAGCACAGCGGTGTGCCCTACAGGGGAGCTCCACTTAGCAAGGGGAGAGGGGAAAGCATAGTGACGGGGAAGCATTACTTTTACATGAATGAAATCAACACTAGAGATCAAAGTCTGATCTAGAACACAAATGGATACTCACGTTAACACCATGAGCCCCGCCACTGATGACTAATTGCTCCGGCTAAGAAGGATGGAGGGGTTAACAAGTACTACACACTCACTGGTTATCCCGGGGGATTATATACATACAGGATAAGCAGGTAGTGACTGGAGAAATTAGAAATGTGTGACATGGGATGATAGATAGGTGATTAAATAGCTACCACTTAGATACTTCACAGAGTTGGAGAACAGAGACATCCAGAAGTCTGCAACTGCATCTAAAGAACAAGCTCTCTTCTAATGGGCGTTCCTTCACCTGGAGTTTGGAACTGCACCCTCCTGTCACACCCTGCACCTACTGGGCTTCCAAACCACCACTCACAGGAGACTTGCTGCTCAGGCATGTTGTTAAATGACCCACTAACGTGATTCTGTCTGAGCATGAAATGTCTGTCGGGACTCCTCCCAACTTGGTGAGCAAGTGGCAGAGAGGCTGGAGCTTGAGTCCCAGCTGTGGTCCTCCATGTGCTGCGCTGTCAAAAGCCCCCACAGTTAATCTTAATCTCTTTTTATCTTTTTTAAATTTTTGGCTCCAGCATGGCACGTGGGACCTTAGTTCCCCGGCCAGGGATCGAACCTGTGCCCTCTGCACTGGAAGGCAGAGTCTTAACCACCGCCACAGAAGTCCCTTAATCCCTAATCTTAATGATGCTTAATCCCTAATCTTAACGATGCTCTTTTCTATTATTCTATACTCTACATAGTAATACATCACACTTGTTTTCTCATCTAGCCTTCTCTTGATACTTCATTTTTATAATTACAAAGAGGGATCCTTGAAGCTAAAAATCCAGAAATAAACAAAAAAGATCAAAATCTTTATTCCTGCAACAGAATACCCAATTTGATTTGCCAGAAATCTGACAATTCTCTAGCCACGCTCAAATTCCTCTCAGAGTCATTTAAAGAGGAGAGAGAGAAAGTAACTGTTTAGGGTCTCACCATTACTATTCAGCGTTTTCATGATAACCTCCATCTGGGCAAATTCGTAGTTGTAGTCTGGCTCTGAAGAAGCTTCACTGGCCGCATCCAGGTCGTGCTCCGGTGGGCCTGTCTCTTTTTCAAAATCTTTCAACCAGTCTCGCCGTTTCCTCTTAGGCAAATTAATTCTGTGGGGTTTTTGACCATTAGTGAAAGTCAACGTGTTTCACACTCGGGTAACAGAAAAGATGTGTCAGTGAACACAGCAGTGAGCACAAAGCAGTTACCTGAAGAAGTGGTTGTTTCCCCACAGGATTCTGTCCCCATGCCACAGCTGGGTGGTGCTGCACACGAGCGTGCCATTGACACAGGACCTGGGGGGACACGGAAGCGGGGGATACGTCAGCTGAACAGGAACGAGCAGGAAACTCCGACCCAGGAGCTCAAGAGGTTAAGTGGGGGAACTCTCCCTTAAGAGACGTAATGTGTCACGCCGTGTCCTTTATTATTCTAAACACTGAATGATCCTTCTAAAAACCCTGCTTCTCATGCTCACTAGCCACACGTTAATTCTCAAGAGCCCCACCTCGATTTGTGTGTGCACCTGCTCAGTTGCTGAGTCACGTTCAACTATTTGCGACCCCATGGAGTGTAGCCCTGCCAGGCTCCTCCGTCCATGGGATTTCCCAGGCAAGAATAATGCAGTGGGTTGCCCTGCCCTCCTCCAGGGGATCTTCCTGACTCAGGGACTGAACCTGTGTCTCCTGCACTGGCAGGTGAATTCTTTACCACTGAGCCACCAGGAAAGCCCACACCACCTCGACAGTGCCTACCAAAACGGTCTCAGCAGATAGAGAACCTTTCCATGGTCTCAGAAAGTTCTACTGAGCAGCGTTCTTCTAGAATAAAACTAAAAACAGTTCCAGAGTAAATCAGAGAGAAATATATAATAAGCTTTACTTCTTTAACTTATCACTTTTGTGATCATCTGTATCTTTAGAGGATCCCTATTCTAGGTGCTTGCTTATACACACACAGACACACGAACATATCATGCTCTTAATACAATAATATAAAAAAGAAAAAGTTACGGAAAAGTGCCTGGTTTGGCAATGTACCCAAGCCAAGAAATTAGCATAGAAGTAATTTCCACTTGGACACATGCCAGGGGTACATGGAGGAAGCAAATATAAAATCTCTTCGCAGGAAATTATGTAGCCTCATCCAGGCCACAAGATACCTACAAACCGCTGAAGAGGAACAAATCTAAAAAATCATGAACTGCTTTAGGAAGCAAAGTTATCAGCAGATACAGCAAAAGTTGGACTGAAGCCCCAACAACATCAAAGAAGAGCATTTCCAAATAAAGGCAATGAAATAAGTAAAACTAAAATTACTAAAGCATACAATGGAGTAAAAACAAAATTCTACTAATAGAGAGCAGGCATATCTTAAAAAAGACTTCTTAGACTTCTACACATGAAAAACAGAGACACTGAGATTAACACTCAATAGAATGTAGTTAAGCAGCAGGTAAGACATGTGAAGAGAGAACCGGTGAACTTGGGGAAGATCCAAGGAAATAAGGACTATCCCTTCACCCCACATCCTTCTCTTGCTGTGTCTCCAATCCCACTCCCATCAACACAACCAAGATTCTCTGCCCACTTCCCCACCTGCTATTCTTACTTCTTTGTACTTTTTCCTTCCACACCCACAACTGCCTGGTACTCAAACATCCCCTGGTTGTTAATGTCTTCCTAACTGCTAAGTCCCAAAGAAACTCTTTAACTTCTATACTGACCTCTTCTTTAAATGTTCTCTTTCCTTGGAATCCATCATTGTACCTTGCCTCTCTGACTCCCTGTCTCAGCCCCCTTCATGGATTATCTTCAGATCGTCCCATAGACATTGATTTAATGCTTCCACTATTCATTCTAGATCCACTTTCAAAACAGGCAACACATAATACCCAGCTCTGTATTTTAGTGTAGCGTCTATAGCCTTAAATCCAATGTGCACCTGGAAATCTTCACACTGATACCCCAAGGACAGCCTAAACTCAAAATATCCCAAACTGAACTCATTACTACTCATTATCTATCATCCTGCAAGCCTGTTCCTCCTCTAATATACCTTATCTTGATTTAGTAGCACCACTGTTTATCTCATTTCTAAGACAGAAATTCAATATCGCTGACTTATTTTCCTTTACTGAGTTCCTATGCTGTCCCTGAGCACGTCACTAAATCTCGCCAACTCTTACACAATTCTAAAATATATTTTGTTCTTCGCTTCTTTTGCAACTGTGCATTCCCATGACAATAGCATATCCTAAGTCCTGCAAACCCCACACACTTCTATAGTGATCAGATTTGCAGGTTATAAAGATCACTTTAGAAGGAGCACTTAGCTTCCCGTAAAATATCTGTTGTTTCTATACATCCTCCTCCACTAGGCTTTGAGTCACTATACTTGGGCATTCCCAGCACAGAGCCTAAAGCAAGTATACTGAATGAATGAACCACTGCCCTCAGGTTATAGGAAAGGAGGAGATGGGACATGGTGGGAACGGAAGAAAAGTAGGGTAAAAAGACTTGGAGGTAAAATCAGGTATGAGGAAATCTCCTAAATAAGATCATTTTCAGATATAGAGTTGAAAGAGAAAATGATTAAATTGTCACGTTGTGTGTGTGTGCATGTGTGTGTATATACACACATAATTTTATCAATTAAAAAAGTAGGAAAAAACTCCAGAGCTTCTAATGGGGGTGGAGTATAGCACAAAGATAAATTTTATTTGTACTTGGAATAAATAAAAAGTAAGGAATAGTATCATTTTATCATTTAATAAGCTAACAATATATCACTTTAACACAAGACCTACAAATTCCATGAATCTTGCGTTTTAGTAGTTTCAGTCTCAGGTTTTCATCACTTGGAAATGTATATGGCTGATATTAACAGAATAATTTGACAAGAATGTAGTTTTCTTCATAAAAGTGTATGTTCTGAATTATAATGTTGTGCATTAATGAATATTGTTTTAAGACTTCATTTTATATGTGCTTATAAAATAACTGAAGACATCATTTAGTAGAAATTAAAAAGTAAATATATTACCCTATTGATTCTCAAATTTTTACATATTACAGCTTAGTGTAGGAATTCTTCATATAATGGGGTTATCTGATTAATAATGGCTTTTCATATAATGCATTAAATGGGTAACAACTAACTTTATTCAATATTTATGTGTGTCAGGCACTGAGGGAAGTGATTTATATGTTTTGTCTACCCTTAGCCTTTTTATCACATGAGGGAATTGAAGATTAGATAAAAGAGGTATCTTATCTAAGATCGCCCAGCTAGTGAAGGCAGAATCAGCCACGCCGAAGCTGGTGCTCTAAATTTTGCTTACACAGCTCTCTACAAGCAGAAAGCAAAAGCTAGTGTGGCCTTAACTTTAATAACTGAACAAACAGACAGGGGCAGTCTGCTCCTGAAAATGAGGCACTTAAGCTATGTTAAGGTACTTTTCTTTTTTTTGTTCTTCCCTGCCATCTCTTTATTTTTATTACTTTAAAATTAATTTTTATTGGAGTCTAGGGCGTCCCAGGTGGCTCAGCAGTAAAGAATCCGCCTGCCAATGCAGGAGGCACGAGCTTAATCCCTGAGTCTGGAAGATCCCCTGGAGAAGGAAGTGGCAACAGAATACACCAGTATTCTTGCCTGGAAAACTCCTGGACAGAGGTGCCTGGTGGGCTACAGTCTATGGGGTTTAATGGGCTGGACAGGACTTAGCTACTCAACAGCGACGCCGACAATAGTTGCTTTACAGCAAGGTAAATCAGCCACGTGGATGCATATATCCCCTCTTCCTTGGATTTGCTTCCCTTTAGGTCCTCACAGAGCATTTAAGAAGAGCTCCCTGCGCTACGCAGTAGGCTCTCATTAGTTATCTATATGGTACTTTTCTTACCGTGCATTTTCTTTTGGCGTAAGGCTGACCTCTCCATCAGAGCCAATGTCGATCTCACAGTGCTCAGGCTGAATTCCTATCCCAAAGAGCTGGATGTCCTGAGAGGTATCGGCACCTACCCTGGTGTGGTCCTGGTAACAGATCGTTCAAGAAAGAAACATCTACACTTGCAGGTAACTCAGTAAAAGTTTATCACAGTCAATGTGAATAACCTAACAGACCACGCATGACAACATTAGGTGAACCAGACAGGAGATGCAAGATCTGGTGCGTTGTAGGTCAAAAGCTTACCTTAACAAAAATTTACCTTTAACTAAATTTAAAATATGTTTAAACACTATAGAAAAAAAAATTAATTAACTGTGATTAGCTATTATTTTAGGACACAAAGAAGTCAGATTTGACACTAGAATACCTGATGCTGAAGCTGAAACTCCAGTACTTTGGCCACCGCATGTGAAGCGTTGACTCACTGGAAAAGACCCTGATGCTGGGAGGGACTGGGGGCAGGAGGAGAAGGGGGCGACAGAGGATGAGATGGCTGGATGGCATCACCGACTCGATGGACATGGGTTTGAGTAAGCTCTGGGAGTTGGTGATGGACAGGGAGGCCTGGTGTGCTGCAATTCATGGGGTTGCAAAGAGTCGGACACGACTGAGCGACTGAACTAAACTGAACTGAACTGACCTTGAGCTCCAATTTTAACTTGATGACTATTTATGTGACCATGGCCAAGCCATTTCATTCTAAGCCTGTTTGTTTTTTTTTTCCTGCAAAACCAAAACAGTATTATTATGATCTAATGAATAGGATTCTTTCTCAAGGATCACCTGAATTAACAGTGAAAGCCTTTGAGAAAAACTATATAAATTCAAGAACCACTGAAAATAGTTTCATGGAAAACGATATTTTCAAATATACAACTTTTAAAATGATAAACAGGTGAGTTGCTAATAACAAATTACAGAGTATTCATGCCTGTGAGTTATACAATGTACAGATTAGCATGATTCTTCAGTACTTCAAAACTCAGGCATGTGAGGACTGTGACTCCTGGTGACTGGGCCCAGTGTGCAGCCTCTTTGCTTGTTCTGTTGTTCTAAAACTCATGCAGTCCCTGTGATAATAAAAATACTTCCTGTTCAACAGAGAAAGTGCAACGCATGGTCGTTCAAAATCAAGATTTCGGAAACAACCCCTTACCGCTTCATCCTTTCCTAAATGAACAGATCTTAAGTCTGTGAGTGGACTCTCAATAAGTCAGTGGCTATTTGTGTCATATTGGTTTCTGGAGAAAGTAGAATATCAAGGATTCTAGAAGACTGAGGCTCCTTTCTTCACTTCAAGCTTATTCTCCATTGCATTCTGCATATTCATGAGGCAGCTCAGAATCCCTAACAAAGGAGTTTAACAACCACTGCACTGACCCCTGCAGTATGGTCAGTGACATGACCTTGAGGCCACAGGGCCAAACCCCAAAGCCCACACCCATATCCACACCTGAGGGTGATCATGGGACCAAGAGTTACTTCCTGAGGATGCAGGTTTAGAAGGAATGGATATGGAAGAACCCCAGGGAAAAACCCTAGTTGGGTAATCTCCCATCAGTCTGCTTCAGGCTTGTGCTGACCTCAAGATCCCCTTAGGATTACTCAGAAGCATAATGGTGACTCTCCAGAGATTCTCAGAATCTTGTTGCCATAGGCAGAGATCACCCTGACACCCTCGGTGGCCTCCCCTGCCCCTTTGAAATCAGCCCAGCTAGGCAGCCCCGTATAATATTGGTTGGTCCAGAAGTTTGTTGGGGGTCTTTCCATAACATCTTATGGAAAAGATGTTTGGCCAACCCAAACTTTTTGGCCGACACAATACAACCTTGGTAATTTGACTGAATACCATTCCTCTTATTTTTTAAGGAGAACTAAGCTGGATACAAAAAGTAAAATCATGGGGACAGGTACCCAGACCCAAGTGGGATTGTACGTGAAGGAATCAGGGTGGCAACTATCTATTAATTTACTCTCTCACCTTTAAATAATAAACCAGAAGTTCGTTGAGAGCAGGGTCTGCGTTCAGGTTAACCAAGTAGCACTTGTCATCTCCCACCTTGATTCCAGAAGTCTCCAGGGAAATCCCCATGCTTTCCAGTTGCCGCTGCCTCTCCTGTGCAGAGACAAGACAAAAGCAAGAAAGCTCTGTTGGTTGCCTGAGTCAGGAGATGTACCTACGGAGAGCTTAAGTCACTACCTCTGGGGACAATGCCAGTGAAATGACAGATTCTACTGAGCTCAACCAAGTTTCTGAGCATCTAACACATGTGACATCTTGTGTCAGTGTCACAGGAGCACTGAGGGCAAACCAGGTACCGTCCTGCCTTTAAGGGGCTTCCAGTCCAGTGGAGGGGATAAGCCCCCTCGGCTGGAAATGAAAGAGGAGACCCCGAGCCTCTGAAGAGGAGCCTTTGAAGCGGGGCTTCAAAGGAGGGAGACTGTGATGGGTTAAGAGTCCAGGAAAGGCTTCAGGAAGAGAACACATTTGAGATGGTTTTTGAGGCACAAGAAGAATTTCAAGAGGAAGAAACCGGGAGTGCCAAGGTAAGGGCAGAGGGCAGTATGGTTTTACGGACTCAGGATGCATTGGATGAACGCAGGTGTCAAGAACCCCTAGTCCAAGGACCCCAAGTGTAACACAGGGAGCTCTGCTCAATGTTATGGGCAGCCTGGATAGGAGGGGAGTTGGGGGAAAATGGATACATGTGTAAGTATGGCTGAAGTGCACCTGAAGCTGTCACAACATTGTTAATCGGCTATACTTCAATATAAAATAAAAAGTTTAAAAAAAGTAAAGAATCCCTAGTCAATGTGGGAAAGTAGTGGGAGATGGGGCTGGAAGAGCAGGCCTCTCCTTTTTGCAGAGGGCCTTGAATTCATTCAGGTTATTCATGAAATGTTTTTTGTGTTAGGTACTAACCTCGGGCTGGGGTTACAAGAGCAAACAAAACAAAGTTACTTCTTTCACAAAAAATTATATTCTAGTGGAAGGACACGGACCATAACAAAATAGACAAGTTAAATATGGAATTTCCTAAGGTGATGTGTGCTACGAAGAAAAATAAAGCAAGGTAGGAGTTACAGAAAGTTAGGTGTGTGCTTGTGATATCTACAAAAAAACATATAAGCAGAAGGCTGGTCTAGGTTCCAGTTACTGATTTCCAGCTACCTGACTGGTGTGGTCCAATGCTCACAAGTGGTCAATGAGACGAAAATGTCATGAAATGCACAGTGTAGAATTCGTATCTCACACACGCAGACATGCACACATGTGTGCATGCTCGGTCCTTGCCTTTTATCTCAAAGATCATGGCAGCATTTTCTAAGGAGCCAAAGAACCAGACACATTGAAAAGCCTATGATGTGCTGTATATTATAAATTCTCTGCCAATGCTTTGTCAGGTGATCTGAAATCACAGATTTTTGTTTAAAGTGTGAAAAGCAGGACACATTAGAGATGATTCCTGTACCATGCCTGCACAAATTTTGAACTCTCCAACACTTCTAGCAAACACAGGGACCAAACAGTAGTTGATACAAGACAATGACTCAGTGTCTAAAAATGGAATTTTTGTAGGCTCTAATTCAGCAGAAAAAGCTCCTTAAGGCTTTTTTTTTTTTGGCTGTCTTGGGTCTTAGTTACAGCATGCAGGATTTTCAATTGCAGCACGCAGGGTCTAGTTCCCTGACCAGGAACTGAATCCGTGTCCCTGCATTGGGAGCACGGAGTCACTCAATGGACCACTAGGGAAATCCCCTTAAGACTCTTTGAGGATGACAAATAGTTTAACAGAAAAGATAGCAAATGAAGAATCACTATAGCACAGGGAATGACACTCAATATCCTGTGTGATAAGCCATGAATGAAAAAAGTATTTTTAAAAAGAATGTGTATATGTGTACTGCTGAGTTACTTGGCTGTACGGCATAGCACTCTATGTCAACTGTACTTCAATTAAAAAAAAAAAAAGAATCACAATATTTTAGGCCTGGGTTATTAAGCTACCTGTGCAATTTCTTCTGTTTTCCTGAGCTTTTCTTCCCAAGTCACCGTTAGTTCTTTTATCAGCTTTTCAGACTCCTCGAGCTTCTCTTTCAGTTCAGGGGCCTTCATAGCCTTTAAAATGAAAGCAGAGATATCTGATTTTCTCATTTTTTCCACCACTATGTACAAGACAATCCCTTATTGTCCTTCTTAAGAGGTTATCAACTGTCTGTTGGAAGCAATTAAGCCACACACTGTCAGGGGAGGTTTTAGACCTTTATTAATCAAATGAAATGAAATAATAAATGGCTGCTCCTCTTAAAATGAGAAAAAAGAAATTCCAATGCCCTGAATTAAATTGATATAAATCATCCCAGAGTAATTTTATCCATCATACTTAAATTTCACATTTAAAGACCTCAAAGATGCTAAAGTTCACCTTCAAAATAGAAAAGTATGAGAACAAATTACTTGAGTAGATTTCTTTTTCAATAAAACAAAGACCAACACACATCACTAATAAACACATCCCACTTACATTAACTTACCAGGAAAGGTAGAGACTCTTCTCAGTTATTTTAAGAGCTGAGTCTGGGCCACTTGAACTACTTTTCTTACTGATGGTAATAAACTTAGCATGTTTACTACTCACTTGGAAATAGGACATCTGGTTAAAAGGGCAGTAATTTCCCTCTGAGTTTGCTCAGTGAGAATAATTAAGAGGTCTAAATATAGACACGCAGCTTAAGAAATCTTGGGGGGCCTTTCCTTGGCCCCCCTATGCTTTTATGACACTCTATAGTAACATGAGGCTCTGCAAAGGATAACCCTATGAACAAAAAAGATGGCAGAGCTCGGACTGGAAGCTGAAGTGGCGATGATGTGGGTCTGGCTGAGGATGTGTTAACTGTGTCTCACTGTGTTAAAAGAACCTGAGAGTGACATTTAGTGCTGGGTCCAAGGGGACACACATGAAAATTCTATGTGAAGGCTGAGCACTGAAGAATTGATGCTTTTGAACTGTGGTGCTGGAAAAGTCTCTTGAGAGTCCCTTGGACAGCAGGGAGATCAAACCCTGAATATTCATTGGAAGGACTCATGCTGAAGCTGAAGCTCCAATACTTTGGCCACTTGATGCGAAAAGCCAACTCATTAGAAAAGATCCTGATGCTGGAAAAGACTGAAGGCAGGAGGAGACGAGGACAACAGAGGATGAGATGGTTGGATGGCATCACTGACTCAATGGATATGAGTTTGAGCAATCTCCAGGAGATAGTGAAGGACAGGGAAGCCTGGCATGCCACAGTCCATGGAGTTGCAAAGAGTCAGACATGACTGAGCTACAGCGTGAACCTGCTGTGGTTCCTCTGGTCTACCGTGTGGCCAGGCGTTGTCCTGGCTACCAGGCCTGGATTATAGGGTCACAGCAGAAATGCAGATTCAGAGACAGGAGGGAGGACAGAGATGATCCCCCTACAGACAAACTCCAGAGTCATCATGCTCCTCCTAGGAATGACTCTCATCACAGTTAATCAGCATTTTAATTTTCCAGGTGTCCTGCTACCCTTCTTGGCATCAGTGAAAAACAAATTAAGCTTGATGCACTCAATGATGAGTGGAATGATAAAAAAGAACACCATTCATTGAGCACTTCCCATGGGCAACTCATTGTGCTAAGTGCTTTCCAGTATCACTGTTGTACTAGGGATAAACACAATTAATAAAACATGCTTCCTGCACTTGAGGAACCCGTGGCCCAGAAGAGGAGAAAGACATGTAAACAAACAGTTATAATGCAACTCCATGATCACCAGTAGATAGAATCTTCAGGTCCCTAGCCCTTACCTCCTTTTGTTTGTGGGGTCAGAAGACAGCTGTATGAAGGAAAGTGAACTTAGAAGCCTTAGGTACACACCCGAGTCCTGGCAGGCAGAAGCATGCAACTGAAGTTGAGGCACTTGGCCCCATCTCAGTGCTGTTACTAGTGCAGTGAGACAGTGCCTCCCCTGGCAACAGCTATTGGGAAGTGGGTATGGTTATGAAGTCTGGGTAAAGCCAAGGAAAGATGGTAACAATGCAAAGTGATTTGGCTCCCTGTCAGAAGTATATACAAATGAACAAAATACAAAATGAGTTATTCCTAATGCTAATTATTCTTGACCACCTTGTCTGCCACGACTTAATAAGGAGATGATATAGAGCTAACGTCTCTGGAAATGGCAAGGCCACATGGAAGTTGTCATGTACAATGTTAATCAAAGCAGCACCTTTGGGGTCTTAGGATTTCACGCTGGAAGAGATCTTGGCTCAAGGGCCAACTGACTGCCTGGAGCAAACAGTTAGGCAGCGGCAGCAACTCTCTTAACTGTCTGCTTCCTCCGCGGTCAGTGCCTGGGATGCAGCCTTGCATTTCATGCTTGCTGTCCTCCTGCGTTTAGCACGGAGAAGATGCTCAGCAGCTCAGCACTGCTGAACCATATTAGGTGAGCTGAGCTGCCAGTGAGCTCATCTTCGACCCTCAGACACCAGGAGCCAGGGAGCCCGGATCACAGCGCGCGCCGGGCTCACCGTACCTCAGCCTGCGAGAGCTGCTCCCTCAGCTTCTCCACCTCCTCCCGCAGTTCCCGGATGACCTTCGCGTTGGGATCCTCATTCACAACGGCATGGTTAACGATCCTTTTGGCCCGATCTGCGTATCTCAGCGTGGACAGGGTCTCTTCGTAGTTGTCTGCTGCTGGGCTGATGGTGGCGATCATGGAGGTCTGGCTGTTGCCCCCAAGATTGTCCTGCAACGTATTTCAAACAGCATCTTAGGAAACAGAGCCTGTTCCAGGCACAACGCAACAGGGAAGCGGCAAATGTGCACAGATGACCTTCTCTGTGAAGAGAACCTGATGTGGAAATGGGCTTGTATTTCACAAAAAATTTTGTGACAAGAGGAACGGTGATCTCTCTCTATTCACATCAAAGCACAATGCCTGTGGAACAGCATTATAATGGAAAAATGGCAACAGGAATGAGTCTTCATCCTTGCGTGTTTAGGAATCATAGTAACACTACTGTCAGAAGTTCGCTATGCTGTCTTTGGCTAGCTTTGCACACATCTCTCAGCTGTCACCACTGAAACAGCCAATTTCTAGTTGGAAAAGAACACGAGAGCAATGGATTACCTTAAGCAGCCAAGTGAGGACTGAGTCGCGATAAGGCACAAATTTGTTTTTACCCTTGCCAGCTGCCTGGTCAGCCAGCGATGAGATAACCAACCCCAAGGTTGTAAGTGATCTGCCAAGAGAAAAAGAAAAAAATTAGTTTTATGGAGAATTTATTTTGTTTATATAATAATTCTTCCAGGTACTAAGTATAAAATTATGCAAAACAGTTAAGTCCCTAAAGTTGATCTCATCAAGTCTACATTCTTGGAGAAGTTGAGAAAATGAAAAACAAAAAGTAACTCCCTTAGTTTAAAAGAATGAATTTAGAATCCCTGTAGAATCTATTTTGTTCAAGAGACAGGAGCTGTGAAACATTTCAGAACCTGGAAACATACAATTAAAAAATTCCTCGAGAGAATTATAATTTACTCTGAATATTACGTTTAAAGTCTCAACCATCTGCTCTTTGAGTCTAACCAGGACTACTCTGGCCTCTGATTTTCTAGGAGTAACCATGTAACTTGTAAAGCATACTACCACCACAGGTTACAAGGTATATCCTGTTAATCTGCTTAAAGCTGGCAAGGTTTTTTCAATGCCGAGTTACCATGAAGTGAAGTGAAGTCGCTCAGTCGTGTCCAACTCTTTGTGACCCCATGGACTGTAGCCTACCAGGATCCTCAGTCCATGGGATTTTTCAGACAAGAATACTGGAGTGGGTTGCCATTTCCTTCTCCAGGGGATCTTCCCGACCCAGGGATTGAACCCAGGTCTCCTGCATTGTAGGCAGACGCTTTACCGTCTGAGCTACCAGGGAAAGAACCACCCAAACAGAATCCTGGAAGCCTTCCCAGGCCTACTGAGTCAGAACCAGTTAAAGGTATCTCCAGGTGATTCACACGCACATTACATTTTGAGAAGCACTGGCTGAACAACACCCAAAGTGATACATACATTCAGGTGCCAGGCCTTTGAGTCTCAAAATGGTGCTGGGACCAGCAGCATCAACATGANCCCTGGACCAGCAGCATCAACATCACCTGGGAGCTTGTTAGAAATGCACATGCTTAGGCTTAACTGCAGATCTACTGGATCAGAAACTCTGGGGTTGGGCCCAGCAATCTGTGTTTTAACAAGCCCTCCCCCAGGCCATTTTGATGCACACTCAAGTTTCAGAGGGCTTCCCTGGTGGCTCAGATGGTAAATAATCCACCTGCAATGTGGGAGACCTGGGTTCGATCCCTGAGTTGGGAAGATCCCCTGGAGAAGGCATAGCAACCCATTCCGGTATTCTTGCCTGGAGAATCCCCATGGACAGAGGAGCCTGGTGGGCTACATTCCATGAGGTCACAAAGAGTTGGACACGACTAAGCGACTAGGCACACCCCATGCACAAGTTTCAGGACCACAATGCATTTCTAACAAGTTCCCAGCTGGTGCTGATGTCACTGGCCCAGGACTGCTCTTCCAGAACCACCACCAAAGCAGTTTGGCATTAAAAACTAGCATTATTTGTTTGCTGTCCTCTTACTACTTATTATAGACATGTTATTTTGCAAAGCACATCCTCAAATTTTAGTTACCCACAGTTACAAAATTCTCTGTACTTGGAAAAAAGATCACCATAGAAACAACAGATCTGTGGTGTTGAAGAATGAAGGACAGCCTCATATCATAGTTAAGTACCAACTGTTCTTTTAAAAGCAAGCAACTGGATTCCAAGTTTAGTAGCCAGAAAAGATCAGTCTCAGGACATCTCTCGGGACTGCTAGGAAGGTAACATGATACCACAAAGACAAAAGGCATTGTAAATGATGAAAAAATTAAATGTTATTACTTATTTATAAAAACCAGGAAGGGACTAGAGGTTAGAAGTGAAAGACAATATAGCTTTCTTCCTAACGTTAACAGTAGATTTCCATTAAATAAGCTGAAAGGAGTAAAATCGTTATTTCCCACAAAATACAATTCTCCAAAGGTGAGTCATTGGAGAAGTCACTGAAATACAAAGCAATGCCAAGAGGCAGAAAATGAGCCAGAATTTTAATAACTAACAGCCATTACTGCCAAGTGACATAAAGATGTACATCATAATTGACAAAAAGTTAAACAAATCCACCGCAAGAGAAACGAAAACGTATGTCCATATGAAAACTTGCTTAAGAATTTCATAGCAGCAATAGACACAACAGCCAAAAGTGTGGAAGCAGCTCAAATGTCCACTGAATAATGAAGGGAAGAAAAAAATGCAATATGTCCTTGCAGTGGAGTAGCATTCAGCCATATGACAGGAATGAAGTTCTGACATGTGCGATAACATGAAGAACTTTGAAAATGATAAGAGAAAGAAGCCAAACACAAAAAGCCACTGTCCTAGGTTATACAGTGCCCCCCACCATCCAATTCATGTCCACCAGAGCCTCGGGTGTGTCCTCTTTTGCAAATAAGGTCCTTGCATAATTATTGGGTTAGCCAGAAAGCTCATTCAATTAGTGACTATGCTGTTAAATAAAGTTCTTGGTGAGAATGTCTTTTACGTTTCTTAAAGCTGAGTGAGGAACTTCCCTAGTAGTCCAGTGGATGAGAATCTGCCTGCCAATGCAGGGGACATGGGTTCAATCCCTGGTCCAAGAAGGGAGGTCCCCAACCAATGGTTAACAATTTTAAGAAAGACACATGTGCGTGGCCTATATGAAACAGCGGAAAAAGAGTTCAATATAAGGCAAAAACACATTTCTGCCTAGATAAAGAATATAGGGCATTTTTCACATTTTGCAACTATGAAAATGGAATTCTCATTTGGAAGCAATCCTTTGGACTCTTCATGATTTTTAATACCCAAATGCAGCAGAAATTACTTTAACTCATACCATCCATAAAGAGCTCAGTGACTCAAGGGTCAATATCAGCAACTCTGAGGTTAACAGGGGTCCTACAGCTCTATATAACTGAACAGGTTTACATACAAGCTCTTTATAACTGCGCAAGCCAACAAAGGTTCATCTAGTCAAAGTTACTGTATTTCCAGCGGTCATGTATGGATGTGAGAGATGGACTATAAAGAAAGCTGAGTGCTGAAGAACTGATGCTCTTGAACTGTGGTGTTGGAGAAGACTCTTGAGAGTCCCTTGGACTGCAAGGAGATCCCACCAGTCCATCCTAAAGGAGATCAGTCCTGAATATTCATTAGAAGGACTGATGCTGAAGCTTAAACTCCAACACTTTGGTCACCTGATGCAAAGAACCGACTCATTGGAAAAGACCCTGATGCTGGAAAAGACTGCAGGCAGGAGGCAAAGGGGACGACAGAGGATGAGATAGTTGGATGGCATCACCGACTCGATGGACATGAGTTTGAGCAAGCTTTGGGAGTTGATGATGGATAGGGAAGCCTGGTGTGCTGTAGTCCATGAGGTCGCAAAACAACTCGGCAACTGAACTGAACTGAACTTACAGCTCTATATAACTTGCTCAGTTAGAGAAGCTTATTACTCACAGAGGCCACACTCTTTACCTAAGAGTGTGCACATCCTCAAAACAAGAACTTCATCTAAACCTATTATGGTCTCTGTGAAACGAAAAGAAATAAGCTGCAGGGTGAGTGGGACTCAGAGATGCCTGAGAGGTCACCAGATCACCAGTGACAAGGGGTCCATACCAACACCCCTTTCCAGGTCCCACCTAGAAGCAGTAACCTAGGGGCTTCTAGAATCCTAAAAACCATTTGAAAGTTCAATGTCTGAAAGTTGAACACCAGGCTTATATATTTTAATGGGAATTTTATATCCAGGAAGCTTAAAATATAACAAAATCACTAATTATGGATCCTTCTAGTCCTGTCATCTTAGCCTGGAGGCAAATGAACAGCTCACAGATATCAGGATGGGTGGGAGTTTCTTGGTCAATTTTAGGGGCTGAAAAGGAATCTTCTAATTCTAGCAGATCAGTGTTCCTTTTCTGAACTTGCTGGAGGTATAGATAGTGTTCATGTGTGCATGCTCTTAGCTGCTTCAGTCATATCCGATCCTGTGCAACCCCATGGACTGCAGTCCACCAGGCTCCTCTGTCTGTGGGATTCTCCAGGCAAGAATACTAGAGTGGGTTGCCATGCCCTCCTCCAGGGGATGGTCTCAACCCAGGGACTGAACCAGCATCTATTATGTCTCCTGCATTGAGTAGTGGATTCTTTACCACTAGCGCCACCTGGGAAGCCTGGAGATCGTGAGGAAGCGCCTAATCAGTAAATCTCTCACCATAAATTCTTGGCCACAGTGGTGGGGAGGAGAAGGGAGAGCGGCTGGCTGGGGATGAAAGAAGACTTAAGCCAGGAGATAACATCTATAAACAACTATCTATAACAAGGGAGAACTCAGGACCAAAAAGAAAGTAAATAAAACCTGGGTGGATCAAAAGCAAAATAAAGTAACTCACTAAAAAAAAAAATTGTCATAATTCCAACTTTTTGTTTTTCTTTCATCTGGTCAAAGCTATGATTTTTCCAATAGTCATGTATGGATGTGAGAGTTGGACTATAAAGAAAGTTGAGTGCCGAAGAACTGATGCTTTTGAACTGTGGTGTTGGAGAAGACTCTTGAGAGTCCCTTGGACTGCAAGGAGATCCAACCAGTCCATCCTAAAGGAAATCAGTCCTGAATATTCACTGGAAGGACTGATGCTAAAGCTGAAACTCCAGTACTTTGGCCACCTGATGTGAAGAACTGACTCATTGGAAAAGACCCTGATGCTGGGAAAGATTGAAGGCGGGAGGAGAAGGGGACGATGAAGGACGAGATGGTTGGATGGCATCACCAAGTCAATGGACAAGAGTTTGAGCAAGCTGCAGGAGCTGGTGATGGACAGGGAAGCCTGTTGTGCTTCAGTCCATGGGGTCACAAAGAGTTGGACACGACTGAGAGACCGAACTGAACTGATACCTTCCTTAAACCTAGTTTCCTTGAAACTGTAATCATCAGATTCCTTCCCATAGCAGTATGATGTGATGTGAGTTACCTGTATTGCCTAGGGTGGATTTCAAATTTATTTTACCATGTTTCCAGTGACCTTTTTCTAAGATAATAAGTGTAGTGCTTATGAAACTTTATCAGAGCTAGGTGTGTATTTCTCTTTCTA